TTGAATAAATGTGATGAAGGAGAGCAGAATTATTTACGAGCACGAGCGCGGTCAGCAAAAATACATGCAGTTCCGATTAATGACTGCCGTCCCAACAAGGAACAACTGAGCGGCTCTCCGTCAGAGGGCAGCTAGCTAGTGAGGCGGTCCAACTGAGCAGGCGTTAGAACTAGAACTTTGAGCGGTTCTAGCTCGCTCCTCGCTCGCTGAGGAGTCGCGAGAGTGAGGCAGTATCTAGCTTGGGGCTGAACTACCTGCCCAAGGAAGGACGACCATGTACTACTTGAGCGCGGGGGCTGTCTTTAAGCGGACAGCTATCTTGTCCTCAAGCGCAACCATTGTGACGAGCTCGAAGGCACGGTCTGCGATCAGATATGAAGTTGAAAACAAGGCGTCGAGAGTCTAGTACGGTCCGCGACAAACAACCTTGTACCGATTTCGCGGCTAAAATCGTAAGGGAGAGCGTTATAGCGCTATGTTCCATGTAGGTCCAGTGACACCTCCTTTTCTCCAGCGACTCCGCCTCCAGACTCCGCCTTCAAGGCCCGCCTTCCAGTGAAAACGAAGCTGCAGGACGAAATGCATGAAAGTCGTCACTTGTGCGGTCGTAGCGTTCTTAGGCAGCGTTCAGACTTCGCGACGGCAGCGCTTCGGTCGCGCGTTCGATGCAGTAGAAAGCATGCGCATCGATCGCGTCGAACGCGCGACCGAAGCGCTGCCGTCGCGAAGTCTGAACGCTGCCTTATCGGGGAGTCGGCTGAGCGGATGGGGGCTAGGCACGTACACAATGGGTTCGAAATGGGGCTCTACCTTGAGCAGATGTCATGTTTTTTTTTCTTCTTTTTTATTTGTTAGGTGCTTGTCGTCTAACATCTGTCATGCTAACCCCTTTCATTATTTGTGATGGCAAATGATCGCGAACCTTGCCTTTGAACAGTGGAATGGGTATTCATGTTTCACTTTTCTGTGGGGTCGAGGGCGGCACACATCAATTATGAGACTCCTGACGGCACGAGTTTCGGAAAAAAGAGGATGAAAGGATCTCATATGCGCGATTGGTCCGATTTGGCATTTCATTGTTGTAGCTGTATGCAAAATACGTACCGCTTGCAGAAATCAAGATGCATGTGTTTTCGTAAGAACTCCCAAGGGTGCTTTCCATCCATGGCCTATTGAGAGGTATAATGGCTGTTCCATGCCTAGCAGGCAAAGCAGACAGCTAAGCTTGCGAGAAAGCTGACATATCGACTCTCAAATTTGAATCTCCTTCGAGATGCTGGAGTGGTCACTCTGAGTTGGGGTTGCTGGCACCTTGGGAACGACTGAATAGCACGTATGCTGACAAATGCAAGCTGGCCGACCAATACATTGGTCTTTTTTTGTTTGGTGCAAATTACATTAGGGGCGCCAAATGAGTTGCTATCGTTGCTTTAGCTATGCGCCAAATCGTCGTTGTTCCATGGCTGCGTGGTTAAGATTAATCCAAAGCGTTCCAAGGGGCAAAGGTAGTTGGGTAGGAGGGGGAGGGATGCGCCACGCAATGACGCGGCTGTGCCAAGTCGTGTCTTGGATGTCTTGTATTGCAATGCTACGTCTTTTGTAAGCCGTAGAATAGCCAGACAGTCTTATAGACCGCATTTCAGTTGGGTGAAAGGGTGCAGATAAGCGGCCATGATGTGGCATAGTCGCCCAGAAGCGTGACATCCCCCCCCCCA